GCGTGTATAAGCTCAAACGCTCCTTATATGGTTTGAAATAGGAACCTAGAGCATGGTACGAGAAATTCTGCTCCACTATACTTGGATTCTCCTTTACTCATAGTCAGTATGATTCATCTTTATTTATTCATAGCACATTTGCGGGTATTGTTCTGTTTCTTTTATATGTTGATGATATGGTTATTACTGGTTTGGATCATGCTTCCATTCAGTGACTTAAGCAACAATTATAGGCCTCATTTCATATGAAAGATCTGGGTAATCTACATTATTTTCATGGTCTTGAGCTTCATTCTACATCCAAGGGAATCTTTCTCCATCAACACAAGTATGCTACAGCTTTGATTTCTATGGCCGATCTCGAATCGGCTAATCCGTTAGATACTCCTCTTGAGGTTAATGTTAAATAGCATTATAATGATATGGATCTGTTGCCTGATCCCTTATTGTATCGACAACTTGTGGGTAGCCTCAACTACTTGACTATTACTCGCCCTGACATATCTTTTGTTGTTCAACAAGTAAGTCAATTCATGCATTCTCCTCGCCATCTTCACTTGGTTGCGGTTCGTCGTATAATTTGTTACTTAAAGGGAACCTCTCACCGCAGATTATTCTTTTCCATTGGAATTTCTCTTCATTTGAGTGCTTATAGTGATGTTGATTGGGCAGGGTGTTCTGATACTCGTCAATCTGTTATTGGTTGGTGTATGTTTCTTGGTTCTTCATTGATTTCTTGGAAAAGTAAGAAGCAAGCAAGAGTTTCTAAATCTTCTACTGAATCAGAGTATCGTGTCATGTCTGCTGCTTGTTCAGAAATACTTTGGCTTCGCAGTCTTTTGGCTGAACTTGGATTTCCCCAAACAGAGTCAACTTCACTTTATGCTGACAATACAAGTATCATTCAAATTGTTGCAAATCCTGTTTTTCATGAATGCACCAAACATATCGAAGTTAATTGTCATTCAATATGTGACGCCTACGATGATCGAATAATATCACTTCCTCACGTCAATACTCAGTTGCAGGTTGCAAATATTCTTACCAAGGTTGTTCCACGCCCAAGACATCAGTTTCTTGTTAGCGAATTGATGCTCCTTGACCAGCCGCATCAATTTGAGGGGGATGTTAATCAGAAAATAATCTTTGCAGTTATTGTGAATAATTTACATTCATAGAATAGGAAATTAGTCATTATGAATTGTAATTAGTTATTATGAGTTGTAATTAGTTATTATGAGTTGTAATTACCGACACTATTATATATAGTATGAAAGGCAATGAGAAATGCATCAAGCCAAATTTCATGACACTTGTTCATTCACACTTTGGGTGGTGTTTTTGTAGCTTTGCTCGTGTAACATATAGCAGCTTTGTGTATCCGATTGGAGCTTGTTTGGTGAAGCTTTGGCTTGAGCTTGGACTTGCAGTATGAAGTTTAAAGTTTTGGTTTGTGAGACTTGTGGAAATTTCCTATGTAGTTTGTATCATCGTTTTTTTTTTGTGTGATTTTAGCTTAGGGTTTTATGACATTTAAATTCTTGGGAATGTAGGGGCATGAATTTTGTAAATCATGAATATTGAAGTACGGAAATGGTGTTGGAAAACTTGAACTTATAATCATAATTTCAATTTGTGATGGATCTTTATGTTTTTTTAGAACTTGTATTTGGAAATTGTAACCTTGAATTTTAAAAATTCATGTGAATTCTCAATTCTTGTACTTTGTAAAGGACCTTTGGTTTTGTATTCAAACTTATCATGGACTCACTTGGGGTTTTCCTTGTAATGCACAATGGATCTTTTTCTCTTAGAATTGATGAGCTTACGGATCATTTTGAAATTAAACTCTTGAACTTGTCATGTGAAGTTGAATTCTCATGACAACTTGGAATAAAATTGAAATATAAGAAAGATGATCATGGGATACTAAACGAAACATGGAGTTTGACTTGGATTGTTTGGACATGGAAATAGATAATAGAATTGGTTTTGGGTTTTGGGTTTCATTGGATTTCAAATTGGATTGTTGAAATGGATGTGGATTTTGGATTTGGATCATGGTTGCATTTTGAAGGTGGAATTGAGATTGAGTTAAAAATGGATATTGACATGAATTTGGATAAATGGTTAGAAAAATGGATATTTGAATTGGTTTAATGGATATGGTTAGGAAAAATGAAGGATTAAAAGTGGGTTATGAATTTGAAATGGTTTTTTTGATACGGATTTGTATATAGAAAGAAATAGATTTAAAAGGTGGATAATGATTATGGATTTGAAGAAAAAAGGTTTAGGTTAGTGTTAATGCACAATCCACTTGTTACTTGAATCCCAAGCTTAAGTCTGCATGAACATTCTTCCATCTTTAACTTTAAAAACTTAATCCACGAATTTGCTAGCCTTAATATTTAGTTAAACCATGCTCGTCTCCATAACTTAATCAACCAGAAACATCTTGACTTTAATGAAACTTCAAGCAAACCTTTAGACAATGATGATCTTTTTACATGAATCATGCCTTGAGGAATCCTTGGAAGTAAGTATACCACTTGTAATGCAACTTGCCACAAAAATTTCAACCAGTTCTCAAACGACTATCCTTGAAACCAAAAGGCAGAAAACCATGATCCTCTTTAGGGAACCTTCTGAGGAATCTTGAGGAGAATTGACTTTGTACTGACTAGGGGACTAAGAATGAGGACATATCTTTCTTTCACCTTCGCATGAATTTAACACAACTTGCAGGAGACTATGAGCATACACACAAAACCTTCATGACCTTCAAGTCTTCTGCAGCAACCCTATATTCACAAAACAAACAAAAACTAATAAAACAGTTAGCTATGCATGAATGATTAACCTAAGATTGTGTGCAAAAGATCAAGGAATCTAAGGGTAAAATTTGAGGTATAACACGATGTTCTCACTATTGAAATATGGAGGATGTTACATGGTCTGGAGCTATTTACAAATCTAGTGGCCGAGAGTAACTCTAAAATCTTGATTGAACTGGTATGTTAAGAGAGATTTGAATATCAAAATTTTCCAACCTTGATTCATAAAATCAGAAAAATGACTCAAAAGGATTGTCGCATCAAATTCAACCATAGTAGGCGTGAAGACAACCATTGTGCAGATTGTTGGAATACTTTAATAATTTTGTAATATATTAATATCGCAATAATTATGTGATCAAATATATTTATTTAATTATATTAGTTATTGTATCAAATAAAGTGCCTTAAATAATTATGTGATCTAATAATGTTAAAAGGCTATTTAGATTTTATTTGGAAATTATTTAATTAATTAATTAATTAAATAATTGGGTATGGACTCAAGTATATGTGGATGTCAGGATGACTAATTTGAGAATTCGAGGCATAAGAAGTACCGGTGGAGAAAGAACCACAAAAGCCGTCAACTTTTGGGTTTAGGATTACCGTCAAAGGGATTTTTCTCAATGGATCCAGATATTTCTAAAATCAATTTTTCGATCCTATAACTTAATACATGTTTGTATGACTATTTTTGATTCTGCATAAAGTATATGTCATAGTATGTTGAGCATGTATATTGAATTGAATTAATTCAAACATTTTTTTATCTATTATTTCTAATATTTGTTAAAGAAGATATTGTGGAGATTCGTGGAATGCATTGGAAGTTTATCTTGTTGATACATCTAAAACTGGAAAAACAAAAACAAAAATTAAGAATGGGTTTCAACGTTCTAACAAGCAGATGGAAACAATCATGCTTATGGTGAGAGATATCGAGAATGGAAAATGTATTTAGAAGAATGGGTTGGTGTAGAGAATAGAGACCAGACAGGTTCAATGACAACATCCTAATAACAGTTGGATTACACTCAATTATGACAATACTTGTAAAAATGGCTGGTTGTGGGAGGTTATTCAGAGATTCGTCAGAGAGTTGGGTGAGGGGTTATACTCGTAAAATTGGTGTGGGTGATGCTCTCACTAGAAATATGATGTTACATGGTCTGGAGCTAAATTGGCTAGAGCTATTTTCAAATTTAGTGTTCAAGAGTAACTTTAAAATCTTGATTGATATGGTATGTTAAGAGAGATTTGAATATCAAAATTTTCCAATCTTAGTTCATAGAATCAAAAAAATAACTCAAAAGGATTGTCGCATCAAATTCAACCATACTATGCGTGAAGTGCAGATTACATAGTCATATATAGTCTTAATTTAAACAACAATGAGCTCATCATTCTTTCATTTCTCTTGACGAAAGAATTGGAGACTTTCTTAGTTGATAATAGATTTGGGTCACATTTTCTATTCCAATTAAAACTTCTCGCTAGTTTTATTACTTTTTCTTACCATTAACTATAAATAAAAAAATAAAAACAAAAACTATACCTTTAATTATAATAAGCAAATCATTCTTTTACCCATAAGAAAATAGACTCACAATTATTATTATATAAAGATTGATTCCATTTATAAATAAAAATTGCAAAATAAACAATTTTTCTTTCACAAGAGAGTTTTTCACCCTGCTTTCCTTATTATGTTCTTATTTTACCATATTTTCTATATATTTCAACTTAAACATTAAAATTTATTTTATTTTATTATAAAATTTAATTGATATACACTTATTTTTTACACAGTCAGTTAATCACAATTGTTGATTTGTTTGAAAATTTTGACTTTAATTTTAACCAGTTGAAAAATAATACCAACGAATAATTGTGATATATTAATAGTCTAAAACTTTTTAGTGTATAACAATTAATCTCTTTTATTATATATTCTATATATTTCAACTTAAACATTAAAATTTATTTATTTTATATTTTTATCTACATACCAATGGTTTTTTAATTAAAGAGACATATATATCACAAAAAAGAGATATCTAAATTAAAAAATGAGCTATAAGGTTTTCATTTTTACTTATCCTAGTTAAAAAATTGAAGCAATAATGAATTAATTTTTCAACCATTTCATTTCAAACCGTGATGTTATCGTTTCGCTATCGTTTCTCTTCTTTCGCAATTCACACCCCTTTTACACATTCTTCTTCTCCGAGACTCTTGTTCCTTCTTCCTCTTCAATCACACACTACTCTAACCAATATCTTCACAAATCACTCTCACTTCTGTGTAAAACCCATCAAACGAAATAATGGCTTCTTCTCTGTTGCCAATAACATCCATTCTTCTTCTTCTCTCTCCAAAGATTCGCCATTTTCAGGTACCCTTTTATCTCCCTTCAATGTTACTCTCATCAAAATGTTGTCTTTGTATAATAAGCTTGTATTTTTTCAGGATTGGAGGATGTTTTTGTGAGCTTCCTCTTTGGAAAGAAAAAGGCAACCGATGTTGCTCATATGTATGTATAGTATACTCACTTAATTTCAGGGTTGGAGGTTATTGATTCTCTATAATAGTGCACTAGCATTGCTTATAAAGATTGCATTTTCAGTTGTTATTCATTATTTTATTAAATAAAGGGAACGTTAAAGTCTCAAACTTTTGTAGCCTGAATTTTTTTAACACTATTTCTAGGCATGACTTACAGTTAATTATATAGATTTGCCTAAAGCGACAAATTTTCTTATAATTCGAATTCAGTCTAACTCAATCTTACAAAACTTAGTGGACATTTGTAGTGTCCTGAGTAGCCTAATAGCGTAAACTGATAGCAGTTGACCCGATGTATCTTTGATAGCTTAGCGTCTTAGAATTTGAATTGAGCCTAATTCGACCTTGACTTGTAAGATAAGGACTCCCCTATTTATAAACATATGTTAAGGTCATCTCTGGATGTAAGACTCTTAGGTTTAAGTCGTTGAGCTGATATAAGGACTTCTGTAATATGGTATCAAAGTCAATTACAAACTTGTTCGGCCACTAGAGTTATGCTTCAGATGAAGAATGTTGAGAGTTTCACATTGGATGGCAATAGTACATGAAAAATAATTATTTGTACCAATCTTCAACCCATGAGCTAGAGCTAGCTTTTTGGGTTGAGTTAGACTAAACTCAAATTCAATGTTGTCGATGGTGGTAAGCTGAAAATTTGCCATATAAACATGCCACTGCGTCCTATGGTGCCACCATGGCAGGCATCCCCTCGAAAATTGCCTATGGCGGGTGTCCAAAACCTGCCATGTTGTTCAGCCATGGCTACCGTTTAACAATACCCAAATTATAATAAGATATACTCTTTTTTTAAGAAAAACATATTGTATGTTTGAATGGAGGGGTTTTGAAGCAAGTATCACGGAATGCTGAGCAAATAGCAATTTAATATTTTAAGTAGTTATGAACTTCTGATTATTTTTGGCGAACTCTCTCGGCTATATCTTTAGAGGGTTTCTTTTATAAATGCATTTTTAGCTTCATTGATTCTAAAGTAACTTTGGTTGAATTAAAAGTGAACATAATCCAGGTTTGTTAAAGAACTCTATTTGCTATGCTTGCTTGTTATGACTCTATAACATATATTTTGCTACGCCTGCTAGTTATTATGTTCATATATTTATCTATAAATTGTGTGATGATAATGCTTTTCACCCATGATATGAGGTATTGCTTTTGTTCCTACCAGGGTATGGAAACATGTTGTCCAGAAAGGAGACACAGTCATCGATGCCACGTGCGGCAATGGTTTTGACACCTTAGAGTTGCTCAATTTGGTTGCCGATGATTTACACAATGGTTATGTGTATGCATTGGACATTCAGAAAGATGCTTTAGATAAGACTTCATTGTTGTTGGAAGAATCGCTTAATTACTATCAGGTAAGGAGTATAAAGGAGTGAACTTTTCAACTTTGAATCGGTAAAGAATATTAGAGTCTGTTTAATTGAAAACAATAAGAACTTTTACGTCACCAACAAAAATTTCAAATTCATGCAGAAACATGTCAAGCTCTTCAATATTTGCCATAGTAAGATGGAGGAAGTTGTTCAAAGGAGTTCCTCAGTTAGGTACTCACCTTCCCTTAACTTGCATCATCTCTCTATTCTTACTTTGTGTTTAGATTTAGAAGCTAATGGTTCAAAGCAACTGTTGTACTTAGTTTTATTATACTAACTGATATCTTTTACGCTCTTCATTGAATCGACTTTCTTGATCGAAAAGCTATGATTTCAGCCTTAGTTCAACTCGGTTTCATCTACATGAATCACATCAAGAGTAAATGGACAATTAATTCAATGAGTGATTTTGATTTTGAACGTTGATTCCATAACTTCAGCTATCATATAATTAGTTATGTTGATTCTGAAAACTGTTAACTGTAATCATAGTATTGATGTAATGTCTTGGAAATTTAAGTCCTAGCTCTATCTTAATGTGCTGCATACTTTTAGGCTTGTTGCCTTCAACTTAGGTTATCTTCCGGGAGGCGACAAAGAAATAATAACAAGATCCGAAACAACATTACAAGCGTTAGAAGCTGCAGAGAGAATTGTAATACCAGGAGGGCTTATTAGCGTAGTCGTATATGTCGGGCACCCTGGTGGAAGGTGATATTTCTGATTCTCAATCTTACACAAATTGTTAAAATGCCAATGCAAATGATTCTAGAATGTATCTTTAAATAGTAACTCATTTTGTTTTAACATCTAATAGTAATGTTTTTAAATCTGTTCAGGGAAGAATTGGAAACTGTTGAGACTTTTGCTGCTAGAATGTCTGTTGAGAATTGGATCTGCTGCAAGCTACAAATGTTAAACCGGCCATGTGCTCCAATACCAATTTTCTTATTCAGAAGATAATTCCAATAATTTTAAGGATCCTTGTGCCTCTCTTAAAAGAAGGATCTTCTTTCTTGGATGAGGCACCAATATGTCCACCCACTTAAGATCGAACTTCTTATACATGGGCAGTTTCATAGGTTTCATACATTTTTCAAATATACATCTTAATGGTAACAATTATGAAGTTTGGATTCAACATCGATTTCAAAGAGACCATTATAAAGGGTGCCTTTAAGATATCTCCAAATTCTTTTAATGGCAGTCCAGTAACTTTCTAAGGGTTGAGATAGAAATTGACAGGCGTCTTGTTTACTTCATAACTAATTTGTAACCTAGTAAGTGTTGCATATTGCAAGGCCCTCACGATGGATCTATAATGAGTGGAATTAGGGGTGACAAACGGGCATGTCCGTTCCATTTAGGCTCTCTTATAAAAGTCCGTAAAAAATACGGCGGATATTGTTGAGGGTACAGGATTAAAACCTTGGTCCGCTACGCAAAAAAATGAGGGCATGGCGGGTCCATGGACACTGCATCTTTCTAGCTTTAAATGACAAAAAAAAATGTGTTAATGTATGTGTTCGCAAAAGCCCGCAAAAAAGTTGGGCAGGACGAACATATTAGAGGGTGTGGGCCTAAAATCTTAGTAGGCTCCTAAAAAAATGCAGGTAAAACGAACATGCTCGGTGGGTCAGGCCCGTTTTGTCACTCCTAAGTAGAATTACTTAGATAATTTGAGCCATGTTTGGACAATTTTAGATTCTAAGGCTCCAAGATAGTTACACAATACAACGAGTTAAGTATTTTGTAGTTTGAAGCTCATTATGCAAAGTTAGTTACACAACAAAATAAGTTGAGTATTTATAACTCAATTGGAGCCCTTATGCTTAGTTACTAACTCAACATGGTCAGATACAGGTTATTAGAGCCCTTATACAGGTTATTAGAGCCCTTAGGCTTAGTTTGGCTCTGCACTATTACTAGCCTAATGTTATTTCTCTATTACCTAAAACTACAACAAAAATAAATTCATCAGGCCCAGAATTATCTCAAAGTACGTCAAAATTGGGGTTGGGTCGGTTAACCTCTAAAGGGTTAGCATTCAGAACATCTAAGTTTTCATATATCGTAGATAATGAAGAATCTTCACCATCAAGTTCATTCATCATGTTTTCAAGCATATTTTCTATGTTGGCCATAGTAAAGAAAAGAAAACAAAGCAACGAAATGTAAGAAAAAAGAAGTTAGAAATGGTATATGAGTAAAGAGACGAAGTGAATGAACGGTGAAAAGCATGTGAAACTTGAGAAAGACATTGAACTAGAAACACATAACCTAGATAAAAGGGAAAGATAGCGAAATCATAAATCACCAAAGTTCGGAGAAGAAAGAAAGGATTTGCGAGAAGGAAATAAGTGTCAGTTGTAAGAAGGAGCGAAAATCGTTTGAAAAGGCAAAGTAATCTTTATATAGGAGAATAAGGGAGATAAATAACGATCTAAGAAGAAAAGAAAATGGAAAGATGAAAAACAATGGTCATATCTCATCTCGAAAATGTAACGGTACTTGAGTGTACTCGAGCATTCTAAGGAAAAACGTCGCACCCTAACCTACGAACCTAGGGCTATGTGTAAGAAAAATATGTGAAACATTTCAATGATAAGACTAACATTTAATGTGTATGTTTTTCGAATCTCTTCCACTTATTAGCACAAGGGTCCCGACATAAAGAGATCGACCTAGTTTCTTGAAAGGCTTCCCGTATGTGGCACCACAACAAGTCTTGGGGACAACTATTTTTGGCCAACCACAGACTTTATTATCGTCCATCGTGTATAAGTCACCATGTGCAAAGTCTAAGATATGATTCTAATCATAATTCATTATGACCTTTCTTCATTCACTCATTGACTTGGACGTTGGAGTGTTGACTTTGGAGGTCCACCCGCAATTGCATCGAACACCACCACATCAAGAATCTATACCAACAATTCTAGTTCTCGAACAGAACAGTGGCGCTGTCTGTGGAGACTCGAAGTTCTTTTCATGCCTCTTAACCTCGACTAGGGAGAAAATGTTCTGGACTGTCCAAAATAGTCTCACATTGCTTGGGAATCGAGACTAGGGATAGTTTATATACAACACTCATATACATCATTCCATTGAGACATCTTTTTTAAAGGACAAAGTAGTGAGAATTCACACACACGCTCAAAATGGACAATACATCGTAATCACAATTGTGCAAAGTTGAGGTCGACCGAAACAAAACCTACATGACAAATATTTATTTATTAAGCCCCCTACTTGCTCTCTCATTTTAAGACGCCTATTGAATGAGTATTTTCTTGACCTCTTATTTTTAAGTTTTATAATGTTATTATTTTATAGGTTTTAAGTAAGGGATCTTAAAACCTTTTTTAAAAATATTTAGAACAAAATATTTAAGTTTTTTTTCTAAAATAATTAATTTAAAAAATCATCTGAAATTCTTAAATAAAAAATATTGTTTTTGAAAATTAAATTTAAAAATATTTTTTCCAAAAAAACCAATTTTTCAAAAAATATTTTTTAAGAAAATGCTGAAAATAAAAAAAAATGATTTAAAAATCAAAATATAATTTTTTATTTTTCTAAAAAATAAAAAAGAAAACAATTTTTATCTGGAAACGAAAAAAAATGTTCTTGAAAACATATTATTTGCAAAATAAAATATAAAATTTTTAGTGAAATAATTAGGTGTTTAGGACCCTATTATAATTTAGAAAACCTCTTTATTTTAGGTTCATTTATTTTTAAAATTTGAGTTCCTAAATTTTGGGTCTGAAAAATTAAACTCTAATTTTGTTTAAGTCTCATAAATTAATAGTCCTATGTCATGTATTATTATTGTAAAACATTTAAAATGGAATCGTAAATATAAAATATCTAAATAGGATATTAATGCTATTGTTGATTTGTTTTTGTTTTCTTAACAATTTGTGGATTTGGTTAGTTTTATATTTTATTTGTGTAATCTATGACTAACTATTGTCTATTTTATATTGATTATTTTTCTTGTACTACTTTTATTTTATAAAAATATTTAGGATTTTTTTTACTCAAACATTTAGGATATGAATATACTAGTATGAAAGAGAGACAGGAGAGAGAAGGATAAACGGTTAATAACTTGAGGAAATGGTCAATAAGAGAGAAGGGTTAAGAAAACGGTTTATAAGATTATGAAATGGTCATTCAGACACATGAGCTGGCTATGCAACTGTTTTACAAATAATTTTCAACCTTTCTTTTATATTTAGTTTAAACATTCCTTTTTTTAATAATAAATTAATTTAGTTTAAACTACAATTTTTATGAAATACTTAATACTAATAAATTAAAGTATTATATTAATTGATTATTAATAATAATATAATAAGGTTCTTTAAGTAGTTGGTAAACCAGAAAGACATTTAATTAGAGAGATAACCCTAACTATGACACTCCAATTCTAAATATTAAATTACTATTAAAAACAGATTAGCTCCAAGCAGCAAGAATTCAACCACTTCATTCTTTTAAAGGTATCTCAGATCACGTGGTGGTGGACATTTTGTTGCATTTAGGTTTTACTCCAACCTTCTCATGTCACAGAATTTACTCCAGTATCTTCGTTCAGACTTTTGGGACCGTTGGCAGGATCTCAACTTAAAATAATTCTTGATTTTCAACTGTTACAAGTTAATTTTAGAACGCAAGGAACTAATGAGTTTCTAAGTAGCATGTACAACATCATTCAACAATATAATTTGTAAGTGATGGAGAAACGATTGCTCCACCTAGAAGAAAGTCTACACAGCGCTCCTCTTGGGGAAAACATCGTGCAAGAAGCCCTTTCAAAGAAAAGCCAAGTTGTCTCCCCCAAGCCGACTGCCTCACGAAGAGATGAAGCTCCAAAATTGCAGAATCATCAGAAGAGCAAGAAGCTCTAAACTCCTCCTCAAAGCCCCGAGGGAGACCGAGGTAGCCACGCTCCTCAATAGGATCGAGAGGAGAGACCATCGGCCAGAAATCTGCAGAAACATCCTCTATATGCCCACATTTTAGAAATAGTAAGATACCAAAGTCATTAGAGTAGCCTCCTAAATTGAACGAGTACAATGGAAAATAAGATCTTGATGAACACATGCAACTCGTCAATGAATGTTTGAACTACTTTCATGCTAACAAAGCTTCAGAGTAAAAACTATTCGCACTAAATTTGACAAGATCTGTTAGGTTATGGTTTAACGCTCTACCGGAAGGCAGCACCAATTCATGGACTGACCTATGTGAAAGCTTCACATCTCATTTTATGACTTAGAAAAGGAAGCCAATGACAATAGCTTCCCTAAGTGTGATAACGCAAAGAAGGAATAAAAGTTTGTGATCTTACATATATCATTTCACGTAAGTGGTCGTGGAAGTAGAAGGTGCTAAGAAAGGTCTCAAATGTTGGATATTCAAGAATGGTCTATTGCGGGATAACCCCTTCAGGAAGAAGCTGAGGAGAAAGGAAGCTCGTACCGTAAAGGAACGGCTAAACAGGGCTAAATCTTTCATCAACCTGAAGAGAAGCTTAACACCTGGTTTGACAACCCAGACGCTGCTGACGCCAATTTCGACCGCTCAACTGGGAAAGACTCTCACCAGCAGAAAGATGGATCTGATTGTAGAATTCATGGTCGGTATGATAAGTAAACTCCTTTGAATGCATCACGAGAGAAGATTTGTCAAGAATGTTCCAACGTAGGGTTCCGAAAGGGAGAAGTCAAAAATCATTTTCCCTTCAGATAGTCAATGTTGGAAATAATAAAGATTTATTTCCATTAAAGTTGTTCCAAAATGACAAAGTGAGTGATATAGTTAATTGACAATAAATGCTTAGTCCCACATTGGAAGTGGAGTAAAATTAAATAGCATTTATAAGACCCTTGGAACAATGTACTTTCCAAAGGAGCCAAAGAGGATAAAGTGCCACATAGTCATATGTGGTG